GTCGATATTACACTGCTAACCATGTCTGGAGATGATTGTTGCTGATCTATAGAGCTAAACTGGCAAAACTGAGATAAAATGGCATGTGTCAAAACTCAATAATATAATTTTATTATAATTTTCTAAGTTACATTTATACACTTTATTATTTACTTATTTAGTTACTGATACGATTTTTCCGTTTGCTGTATTTGCTCTTAAATTCTGTTTCTGTGGTAAAATGTTTATTATTAATTTCTTCTTTTTGGACTTTTTTTGATTTTCTTTTAAGACAAAAAACCTCAAAAACAACAGTAAAAAAACCTGAAATAAAGCTGTAAGAGCTGAAAAAAGGGTAACCTCTTATTCAAGAGGCTTTTTCAGTTTTGAAATACAAAAGGTTGAGAGACCCAGGTGTTTGACCTTAGCGGAGGTTGTCCCCTTTGGAGTTGGTCGATGACCTGATAGTGCGAGTCATTAAATGAGCCAAGGTGTGAAAAAACGCGTTGCTCATCACTATTACCCAGGCTTAAGGGTTGAAGCCACTGTTAGGCCTCCCCAGAGCTTATAATGTGGCCTATTCAACAGAAGATCAACAGAGCGAAAAGTGTGAATGTGAGGCTGAAATACCCAAGAAAGGTTCTCAAGATGTCTGATAGCTGGTCTTGTAAGCCACCACCTCTGTTCAAAGATGGTCGTTCGCAGTGGACATAGATGGCCTCTTTTAGTCCTCTTTCAACCCTTTCAAGTCTTCTCAGGGCAAAATGTGAACATTGACATCCTTAAGAGTGCAGGTGTGCAGCTGAGTCTTGTCCTGTTGCATTGGCTCTATTTTGTGGAGTGTGTTTGGTTTCTCCTCTGTAGAGATCCAAGCACTCTTCACTACACTAGCCACCTCACCACTACTTTTTTTTAAATCTATTTGGTTGGATATAAAGTACACCGGGATAAAAGGGTTGGAGAAAATTCTCTAGATTTTCTCTGGCAAAGCTTCAACACAAAACATGACAACATTGTTCCATTTGTCATTCTGTTTCACGCTAGCTAGTGCCATCTGAAATAAAGCATAAACACAAAACAACTGCTCACAATAGGAACGGTTAACCCTCCATTCGCATCAAAAGACAGGAAAGTAGGAAATACAAATGAAATGATACATAGACTTCTTTTTCACACGACTGTAATAGCACAAAGTTCATATGTGAGCTGAGCTACATGACATAAAGAACACAGTGTAAACAACGTACAGATTCAAATACAAAACATATACATATAGTGGTGTCTGCCTTTGAAAACATACTTTTTGAATGAGCACTGAGAACACCCTTTCTTCTTCTGCAGGAAGAGTAAGAGTAGCAGCCATGCGCTGATAATGAAATGCACTTGGTTAGCTGATCATCAGCGTTGCCACTTTTTAAAGAAAGAGATATTTTGGCAGTTTGGAGGGTTCAGGTGTGTGTTAACATATTGCCACAATCAGAAGTGCACATTCACCCCAAGGTCAGACTGTGCAATGTTCACATAAACTGCAAAAAAAACAAAACACAAACTACATCTCAGGCTCTACAGAGCTCAGTTAGCATGTTAAATGTTAAAGCTCTCTATACACCTTATATCATGGTGGCAGAGGGGTGATGATTTGGGACCTAGACACTTTGCAGTCGTTGAGTTGACTTAATGAGCTCCTTTAGATCCTAGAGTTGAATCTGAGGTGATTTTTTTTCCGACGGCTAATGCTTGGTTGAAACTCGGTCACATAATGATCACAAACATGGAAGCAACTCTGCAAAAGAAGGGCTGAAAAAGACAAGGATGTGCTGCAATGGCCCAAAGTCCAGGCTCAACCCAACTGAAATGATACAACTGAACCTTCGAGTGAGCTGTGCATAAATCAATGCCCCCAAACCTCAATGAACTGAAGCAACGTTGTGAAAAAGAGTGGGCCAAAATTCAAAATTGCGTCACAATGATGTGAGAGACTGATAGTCATACTGAAAACGATTGCTTCATTCTATTGCTACAAGTTATTGAATCATGGGGAATGCTTCATTTTTCACAGGAGTTTATAGACTTCTTTGAAAACATTATTTTTCACACGACTGTAATAGGGCAAGGTTCAAATGTGAGATGAACCACATGACACTGTCTAATACAGTGTTTTTCACCCAAATACCCCATTTATAAGTTGAACTTAGGTTGTGAATTGTTTGATATAAAGAGTTTTTCCATAAAAGCTGTATTACTGCTTAGCTAAACAGTGATCTGGATTAAAAGAACAATACCTGAGAAGCCCTTTCATCCTTTGCAACCCATTTAACTGAACTCTATCCCTCTTTAAAAATGTAAGGCCTAGTGCTGAGTGATAGTCAGTGTGCAAACCTGAAAATTAAATTGAGTAACAATTCAAAGTTTGCTGGAAGTAAAACACTGGAAAAACATTCACCGGTGAAGGCACACACAAGGGCACTTTCTCCATCAAGTCTCACATTTGCTGACAGTCACTTTTGAAGTCAAAGGGACTTATCTCAAAATGTATTTCCATCTCTGTTTCATTCAGAGGCTGTAGCAGCAGTTTCATCTCATGGACTTCAAACAGAGAAAATAAAAGTGACTGATCAGCTGCAGTGGCTGAGTCCTATAAGCTTGCATTTACAGACACCTTCAGTAATGCATTCACACAATCTGTGAGTATCTGGGTAAAGGAAATAAAGGAGTTTCCATCAACGAGAAACAATATTGTTGTAACATAGAAAGCTGTTTCCATTGACCCCTACAGTAAGAGGTGATGAATGTACTAGTGCGCACACATATACAGACGACAGCAAAAGAACAAGGTTCTTCTCTCTTTCTGTCTCACAACATCCAAGCACACAGCACCCTCATTTTTACCCATCTCTCTCCCAGACACACACAAGTACATAAAAAAGAAATGAGCTAACGTAAACAAGCACGCGCACACTCATGCATGCACAGAGTCCTATCCTGCCTTATTTTTAGCTGTTCCCCTACCCAGCCCTGACCTACATCACAGCATGAATAAAGCAGCAGAGAGATGAAGAAAGTGAGCTCATATTGGGAAGGGGAAGGGTGGAGGTGGGGTGTGGTGTCTGGGGCAGAGAGATGGGGGTGTGGGGAGGGAGAAGAGAGGCAGAGAGAAACACACACACACACATACACTCTGGCAAAAAAACGAACAGAAAAACGAACAGCTTCTCCTCCATCCCCCCGCCGTGAAATGACAGTTTCAGTTCTGTCAGCAGACCTCACCTGCAACAATGCTCCCAGAGGAGGCAGCAGAGGGCGAATACACACACAGACTTTTCCAAACACGGGAGATGCAGACAGAAAAGTCTTGCCACGGCCTCAGGCTTGACACCAGAGGGTCGTCTTGCTCTAAGCGGAAGCGAAACAAAAGCAGTGAGTGCTCGACTTTGACTTATTGAGTCTCCGTGTCGGCTGTCATCAACCTTTGAACAACAGTTTGGCACCTTTTGCCAATAAAGGTTAATCAAATGAGTATGCTTTTTAGGCGGAGCAGTGCTTCAGTACAAGATGAAAATTAGATTCGGGTGCTGTCGCTCAGCCTCAAAGCGCTCAAATAAGTTCCATGTTTTTGATGCAGGAGATCAATGCTTTTTTTTTGTAACACCGAAGGCCGGCGAGCCTTTGTATGCCTGAATACATGATCGGCCTCTCTTTGTGGAATTTAACACTCCTACTGTGCACTCTCCAAGGATGAAACTCACCGAGAAAAAACCTTATGGGTGTTGCATGTAAGGCAATTACATACTTCATACGCATTCATTCTATTGTAAGGGGAAAGTGTGAGCTGAACACCTCGAGGCTGGAATGTATTTATCCAAGGAGAGGATATGGAAATGCTGTCCTCACGCTCTCCTTCCCTTAAGTGGTGGAAAGGCCTGTTAGCCTCGGGAAACCAGTTCTCTTCTGCTCACATCCGCATAAATACTCGGCACTGTACAAACGCACGCGCACGAATTTAGGGCTCCCTTCTGCATAACGTCTCCCTTGTGTGTTTCCAATCCCATTTCATCAGCAGTCATCCAGCTCTGCTAATGCTTCCCCAAGCTCCATGTTTTAGTGCTCATACGATGTCTTTCAAGCTACATTAGGAGGAGAGAGCCTGTGTGTATGAAGAGAAGGCGTAATATATCATGATATTAGCTCCACATAATAGATGTCAGCGAAGATGCTGTACTCCCTGCTCTCCTCTGTCCTCTTCAGTTGATATGTCCTTATCTCATCAGCCTTTTCCTTTCCTTTCTCCTCCTTGTTGAGATTGCTTCTGGTGTGCTCGATTCACAGTCAGTTGTCACGCTCTCTCTCTCTCCATTGTACTGGGCATGACCGTTCCATTTAAACCATAAATTAAAGCAATACTTAAATTTAAGCGTCTTTGTTTGTCTGAGTTTTTCAGTGGGTGCAGTTTTGGTTGTGCACAACTCTAATTAATAACTTGTGCATCAAGATGGGGCTCGGACACCTTTCCTTTGGGAGGTGATTAAAAACAATTTACTTGTTAGTTCCAAAAGGAGTAGGTGTGTCTTTAAAGAAGCCTAAAGAATTATTAACCCACTGCATATTCTCTCTTTGTCCTCAGATATTGATGAGTGCGCGACGCAGATGCACTACTGCCAGTCCAACACGGTGTGCGTCAACCTGCCCGGCAGCCATCGCTGTGACTGTCTACCAGGCTTCACCAGAGTGGACGAGTACTCTTGCACTGGTGCGTCTGCATGCATGGAAATATGTCACTGACTCACATTAAGGATTGTCATCAAAACTGACCAGTAGTGTACCGGTGCTTAATGACTTCATAATTTCTGAGTTATAAGGAAAGTTTTTTGTTTTAGAAATTAAAGCATCTTTGCAATTGACTTGTTGAGCACGGATCAAACAAGAGTTATCCAGGGTGTAATGTGCGATGGCACTGGAGCTAGCTGACAGTTTTCCTTTGGCTTGTGAGACAAAAGAAAAAAAATCACCTCACCTGTAGCCAAGAGCAAGCTGTAAGTGGTTATGACTACTTTCTTTCATTTATTGCAGTCTTTCCAATGGGATCTGTGGCAATGTTGTGTGGTCTGTTGGCTTTGTTAATTGAAAATTCGGATAGATTGCCCTGAAGGTTTGCACAGGGATTCTAAGTAACCAGAGGATGAAGCCAGGAAATTCCCCTAATCATGCAACTTTCTCTTAGCACCACAAGCAGGCAGGCATTTTGGTTTACAGTGTCAGCAACTTATGGATAACTGATCATCCTGAGAGTATTCAGTGCAGTTCTTTACGACCAGATATATGCAAATATATCTCTCTCAAGATACGCCTTACTTTCAGTCTTAACTAGATATTGTTTTTAGTGCAAATCTTTATGTATGCTAATACACTCACTGCTAATCATTTCCACCCACCCCAGTACCTACCCCTAGCTGTAATACTGGCTGACTTGTGGTATGCTAGGTTTACCTAATGAGTAGAGTCCCATACACTCCTGTGCTAAAATGCACCATTATAAAAAGCATGTTTACAGCCTGGTACAGACTATCCTCTGTCAATAGTTTCCCAGTTTATAACAACAACAGTGGGGATGTTTAGTTGTTTTGTTTTGTTTTTATAATTCATCCATAAATTCCTCACCATCTACTTGGATGTCACTTTGATTGGCAGATGTCCCGACACAGACAGCTGAGTGTTGTCTGCTAGGCCTCACCTCCGGTAATTGGACTCACTGAACTGCATCTATTCTGTGTCTGTACTGTGTGTTCCTTTCTGGGAAGTTAAATTATATGACAAATAATATGACCTGCTGTTTAATTTGGCCAATCCCAAAAAGTGATGGAAATTCTGGCATTTAACTAGCATGTTACTCTGGACTAAGAATAATCCTTTAATCCTTTAATTGTCCACAAGGGGAAATTTGTTTGTAACAGCAGCCAAAAAGACACATATACAAACAAAGAGTACACAGGACACAGAACAGAAACATACACACTTTTCTTATATATTTACATTAAGGACAATGGTTACTATATACAGAGTACTGTACCGTTATTAAATTAAATAAAAATAACTACAGATAAGAGGCAAACCATGTTGTAGTGCAACCAACCTTCATGCATCTAGGATGCAGCAGTCTGTCACTGAAGGAGCTCTGCAGTTCAGCAACATTTACATGCATGGGGTGGGAGACTCTGTCCATCAGAGATGTTATTTTGGCCAGAGTCCTTCCGTCTCCCACCACCTGCACTGGGTCCAGGGTGCATCCCAGAACAGAGCTGGCCTTCCTAATGAGTTTGTCCAACCTCTTCCTCTCAGCTGCCGATAAACTGCTGCTCCAACATACAACACTGTAAAAAATGACAGATGCCACCACAGAGTCATAGAAGGTCTTTAAAAGCGCTCCCTGGACTCCAAATGACCTCAGCCACCTCAGCAGGTAGAGTCTGCTCTGACCCTTCCTGTAAAGAGCATCAGTGTTGTGGCCCCAGTCCAGTTTATTATTCAGGTGAACACCCAGGTACCTATATGAGTCCACTATCTCAATGTCCACTCCCTGGATGTTCACCAGTGTCAGTGTGGTAGGTCTGCGTCTCCGGAAGTCCACCAACAACTCCTTCGTTTTCCCGGCGTTGATCAGCAGGTGGTTTTGCTGACACCAGTCTACAAAGTCCAGAGTCCACTGTCTGTACTCTGAGTCATCCTCACCTGTGATGAGGCTGACTATGGCAGAGTCATCAGAGAACTTCTGTAGGTGGGGAGTTTATGGAGAAGTCTGCAGTGTAGAGGGTGAAGAGAAACGGTGCCAGTACAGTTCCCTGTGGGGCCCCCGTACTTCAGACCAGTGTATCACAGACACAGCCCTGTGACCTCACATACTGTGGACGTTCTGTGAGGTAGTCCAGTATCCACTGGGACATGTGGTGGTCCACTCCCGATAGCTCCAGCTTGTCTCTCAGAAGTCGTGGCTGGATGGTGTTAAAAGCACTGGAGAAATCAAAGAACATGATCCTCACAGTGCTTCCAGGCTTCTCCAGGTGAGTCAGAGCTCGGTGCAGGAGGTAGATGATGGCGTTCTCCACCCCAATGCCAGGCTGGTAAGCAAACTGCAGCGGATCCAATGAAGACCTCACCAGGGGGCGCAGATGGTTTAGAACCAACCTCTCGAGGGTCTTCATCAGATGCGATGTCAGGGCTACCGGCCTGTAGCTGCTGAGGTCCTTGGGATGGGAGGTCTTTGGTACCGATACCACACAGGAGGTCTTCCACAGCTTCCACTAAATAACCGATATGAGTGTGTCATTGGAACCACGCAGAATGCCGCTTACAAACCAAGCTTGTTAGTATTAGCTGATAATTTAGAAATCCACCTGTTCATCTAAATTTCATGCCTCAGGATCCAAAAGACTAACGTGGTGGTGAGATTAATGCTGAGGCTTCACATTGTCAAGTTCAAAAAAATGGGTTGATGTCACAGTCGCTGTCACAGTCTATATTTAGTATATAGACTATGGTTAAAATACATACCATATTTCAAGGGGTTTATGCTGCCAATCTGGATATTGAACTAAGCAGCTAGCTGTCTGATCTGCTGTTTCACCACCTTTTCAGGTGTCTCTGCTGCAAAGATACAGTAAAGAGCAACACACAAAAATAAATGACGGTGACTCAGACTGTACTCGTGACTCAGACTGTACTCGTGACTCAGACTGTACTCGTGACTCACCTGGAAAGAGATCCACGAATTAAAATGTCCCAGATTATTCATATAATGTTATTTTATGCATAACGGTTAAAAAGGTTAAAGCTTCTTTACTAACCATAAACACAAATAAATCTACAACAGATAATAACTATAATTGTATTACTTTATTTTATAGTTTTATTTGTAAAGCACTTTTCAAAACAGAGTTAAGTGCTTCACAGTTCAAATAAAAGCCACACATTTAAAATAAGTGTATATGTTCAAACATACAGGCACATAAACAGACACAAAATCAGCCATACTGGCAGACATGAATTCCAACAAGTTGTTGCAAACTATGGCCAAAAATGAAGGGGGAAAGATTAAGGAAATGCTAACCTATAAAAATGAGTTTTCCGCTGTCATTTAAAAGAAATAACAGAGTGAGCCAAACCGATTCACTGAGGAAAGCTGTTCTGCAGTTTGGGCGCAACAACCTCAAAAGCATGATCTCTGGTTTTAAAATCAAAGCGAATGTCACTTAGGAGACACTGTTTAGACGATGGGAAAGGCCGGCTACACTGAAAAGGTCTTAGAATCTCTGTTATATAAGCAGGGGCCTGTCCATGTAGAGCTTTATATGTTAATAGCAGAATTTTAAAGTGGATCCTAAATTTCACTGCAAGCCAGTGAAGGATTGCAAGGATGGGTATAATATGTGACCGCCTGCTAGTTTTTGTTAGTGCAGAATGCAGCAGCAAGGCTGCTAATTGGAGACGAGCTATGGAGGACTGAGAGACACACGTGAAAATTGAATTATTATAATCAAGGAGAAAATTAAAGTGTGCACAAAAAGTTCAAGGTGATTGAATGACAGTAAAGGTTTGATTTTTTACAATATTTCTGAGATGAAGGAAACAAGACTGTGTGAGCTTTGGTTTTCAAAATTCAGGTGTTGGTCAAAGATGATGCCAAGGTTTTTAACAGAAACAAGGTTCATGTTATTGGTCAGGGGAGTGATGATTACATCACTAACCTCCTTAGAGAAATTGTCTGGGCCAAGCACTAGAAGCTCAGTTTAACAGGAATTGAGATGAACGCAATTTGAATACATTCTTTGAGGCAGGAGAGGCTGCCAAACTATAAATGTTTATCACCTGCATAGCAATGGTACGAGATTCCATAGGTGCATATAAAGAAAACGGAATTGGTCCAAGGACTGAGCCCTGGGGGACTCCACATACTAGCAGTGCAGATGAGGACGTACGCTGATTAATATGAATTCTGAAGTATCTGTTTGATAAGTAGAAGAAAATCATTTGTGAGCACTACCAGTGATGCCAACCCAGTTTTGTTTGTTAATACAAGTAGCATGATCAATAGTATCGAAGGCTGCAGATAAGTCAAGCAGGACTAAAATGGAATGGTCTGTAGCTGTCAGGTAATTATATATAATGTAAAGGACAATGTCCATCTACCAATTGGACATGGACAATGACACAGTGCGATTTCTCTCTCTCCTAGTGAAGGCGCTTGTTTACATTTTGCTCTTGAGGAGAGTACACAATAAAAATGAATGAGTGATTCTCGTAATTGGGTCCAGATAATACTATGATTCACATGTGTGTCAGTAGATCTCAATATTTGCTGCAGCTTTCACACTGACTCATGCTGCTGGTCCAATGATTCACATGCATTTTAAAAAAAGCATGTTGGTGTCCATCAGCCGCCAGGCACTGCTGCTTTGCAACTGTCCTGCTGAAACTTTTACTTCATTATCTGAAATTAAAGCATACACAGAAGTGAATGCAAACTGATAAATGCCTCTGCAGTTGTCTTTTTAAAGCTTTAAAGCTCAGCGTGTGATGGAATAAGAATGGCTGATTGCTGCCATTTATTCATTTAATGGCTTTTCTACCCTAGATATTTTAGATTAAAAAGAACAAACGTATAACAGCATTGTTTCCCGACCTTCTCAGAGGTATATGTCAGGACAAAGTACAGAAGCAGCTTCAGCAAAATATATGCCCACTTTTAACAGCACAAAT